CAGTGTAAGACTAGAGGATAGGCAGCTAGTTATCACCACCCACTGTCAACTCTTGGGCTACTCTTTTACCAACGAATAGTGGGATTGATCGTCACTTTATAACGTCCCCACGGCTGAAAGGGTGAGCATGTTTAGTTTGACGGGGATTAGAACCCGTGACCCGCAGATTGCGAGCGAGTCGAGCGCCCTAACCACCACGTTGTAGGTACTCCAGGCCATGTTTGAACATCTACAAACAAATCAAGTACGCATGCGTGGACAAAGAGATAAAAAAACCATTAGATTTAAAGCTCCCAGACGAGTCTTATGCCTTTTGAATGACCTATTTTACATATGGCCAAAACAAATCTTTTTAGCTGTTCTAAGAAAATCCAGTTATTTCTGAGCTTAGTGACCGATTTAATCAAAGTTATAGAGAAATAAAAAGAAAATCAAAGCAGACGTAATTTAAACCAAAATAATTCAATTACTAGTTGAACACAAAGCTCTGTTAACACACAAATGCTAGTTCAGTTATGTGCATGTTTATTGGCAGTGATCACAAAATTAAACAAAAAACAACAACAAAAAAAAAAGAACGTTAATCGTTTAATACAGAAATGTTTAGTGGTCTTCTACTTGTAGGTGTGTCTGATCCATCAACACTTTTTTTTTCGTTGTGTCACATGTGTGTTACTAAGCTATAAGTGTCTCTCACATAAACTCGGATCGTGAGAACAGCAGCAAGATAAATATTATTATCCCTTTAGGCACTTGTAAGCTTTTAAGTAGTTGGGTTGCAGGATAAATGCCCTTTTGGTACAATTTGTTTGGTCAGTGTTGTTGAACAACAATAGATATGTTCCTGATACAGTTTTGACTCGATATTATAATACAAGCTTGTTGCATATACGTATAGTTTATTATTTTACACTTTTTTTACTATAAATAAAATAAGAAGGAATCGTCAATAGCCGCGGCACTTGAAATTCTTTTAGGTAGGATTAGAATAAATTAATCTATGAGACATTTTTATCCTTTCTATTAGCTATATTTTTGTGCGCCAGAAATACCAAGCGTGGGGCGCGCATATACCCGATTCGACTTTATTACTCATCAAGATCTCTACCAGCCTACCTACAAATTAAAATTCTTTTAGGCAGGATTAAAGTAAATTAATCTATGAGACCTTGGGCGTGATCAAATACATTAATCGAAAGGGTTTGGCCTCCTGAGTCCAAAACTATAATTAGATTTCAAATCGGTCAAGAGATGGCGGAGATATGAGCTAAAAGTTTGTACTTGAAAAAACAAATAAAAAACAAACAAATGCAGATATGTTTTATGAGCCATTATGCCGCGGCTGAAAATAACACTATTGATTATAAATTTTATCAGACCATATCAAATCCATTCAATCAGGATAAATTATTCACCATCACAGGCCTTTAACTATCTAATGGTACAGAAAAAATATTTTACCAGTGTTTTACAAACTTTAAATAGCGCAAGTGACAACAGCAAAATCACCATTTTCTTTACCTATTTTTAATAACTTTTTAGAATGCTTGTAAGGAGTGAGTAAATACGAGAGCAATAAAAAAAAGCTTTAACAGCAAAGTGATAGTTGGTTAGGTTATCTTCGTCATCTCCAACTCTTCCGTCGTTACTTTGGGCTCTTCCGCCAAAACGTCCCTCCTCAGCCACTAGTATGTTCCCCACAGTTTGGAGAACACTGTCTTAAATTATTAGTTTCAGGTTTTTATTTTAAGTAATTGTGAAATTAGTACACGTATTATTGTTGCTTAATCAACACACACACCTCTATTGCTTAAATATCCTAAGATCTTAACCCTCTTCCTGCTTTAGGTTACTTAATGGTTTTTATGGATTCGTTTATTTGACTACTTATCCAAATAGGTATGAGTGAAGGATATTCTTCTAGTATTATTGAAAGAATGAAATGGAGTTTTACCAACTAAAATTCCTGAATATCCTATCATCATTCACATGCGCTTTGGACGTCACACGTGCTGCTTTTATGAAGCTTTCTTTTAATCTCATATGTTGAACCAAAACAACCAGTTCCTATTGCCGCGTTCACGAGCATCGGCTGTATATCACATAAATGTAGCTGTGAATCACAATGACACTCAGGCGCTTAATATTATGTCCTGTGAATTACATGTGATGTACAGGACAGAGATAGGGTTAAACACTCATCACATGAGAACGTTGTTTTATAACATTAAAATAAGAAAATACTACGATATGTCACCCGTATGTGGACCGTTGTTGCTAGGTGACGTTGTTTATCGAATCTGTACTCTAACTACTGTTAGCATTGTTCCAACAACAAAATAGAAAGCTTGCAAAAAATATAAAATCCATATAATTATTTCGTGGGATAAATATCCTAGATTTTTTTTATTAACTGAAAACTTGTTTACTTAATATACAGACGTATTGTCATATCACATATCACCATATTTTACTTAATCACCCCGATTTTTTATTATTTAACTATTGTAATATTATATTGTTAAATTGTTACATTATCTCTTTGTTTAACTACGATCTGATCGCGTTGTGAAGCCATATCACTGAGGTGGTTTGAATGCCCACATTACTAACAGATATAACGTAATTCGTGGTTGCGTTTCCTCTGTAAATGCAATATCTACAAAAAAAAAAAAGAGGGTTGAAGAAACTATAGTACAGTAATATATTCAACGATATGAATATACATTTCAAACGTCATACACATTTATTACAAACCACAATTCCAATAGTTTGTTGGTTTGGTTGTTTTTAGAGCAAACCCACATTTAGCTGTCTGCTGTGTCCACCGCGGGGAATCGAACACCGGATTTGAGTTTTCTAAGTTCCCAAACTTACCACTTTCCTACCGGAGGTCATTACGATGGACTTTTTCTTCAATTTGCTGCAGTATTTTGTTGTTATAAGGGTAGAGAAATATTCGAAACCGATCTAACTCAATAATAAGTGGCAATTACAATAATAGATTGGACCTTGCGTTTCTCTCTCATCGAAATTAACAGTTTTGGTGTCGAGAGACAAAAACAAAATACAGCTTTCATCTGAAGGTGCTGTGTTTCTGGAATAACTATGTAGAAAATAGATTTGTAGTTATAACTTGAAATAAGATACGTGAGAAACATTTAAAAGTACACATTGTTAAAGATAATAAATTTTATGGTGAACAAACAAATATGCTGTAAAACAAAACGATCGTCTTATACATCTGGTGTGCCGTTTGCAATCACTAGTTTGGCGAAACTTCACGTGTTCTTATCCATTCAAAAGTTTTCGTACAATAATTGAAATATTAAGTAGGGAATATATTTCCACCAGAGTCGAAACTAAATATATATATAAAAAAACATTAACATGTGTTTTTCACTATATAGACCCTTCCAGTAGATTACAACATGCAAGAATCATGGACACGTGGACTAAGCAGATGGGTTACCCATACATCACCGTCAGGCGTAGTCCTGTGAACAGGAATCGTGTGAAAATCAGACAGCAGCGCTACCTGATGGATCCCGAGGCAGCAGAAGAGCATAAAAGCGATTCGCCTTACGGGTGTGTAGATAAGTCTGTTTTCTTCATTCAGTGTCCAGAACGACCATTTATGTTTCACTATTGTAATTAGGGCTTAGTTAAGAAAATAAACAGAACTTAGAAAAAATAGCGTTTGCATATAGTAGAGCAAAATAAGATAAATTCCTAAAACGTTAAGTTTCTTGTTAATCTCATTTCCAGTTACGTATGGGATGTGCCATTGAGCTACGTAACTTCAAAAGGAGACACAAAACTTATTTGGATTCACAACTCTTCATCTGGTATGTTCATTCTTGATTCATATTTGAAACGATTTTTACAAATAGCAGATACTAAGAGAAAGTTAATTTTATTAAACAAGTATTTTTAAATGTAAATAAACTAAAACTTAAAAAAAATCATAACTATTTAGTTTTCTTAATCGTTTGTTAGCTTTGGGAACATTTTTATTTTTCAAATGTAAGTTAGCTAAATATTCAATAAATTTTTAGTGTTTTTTTTTTAATACGACCTCTAATATATATTATAACGTTCGTAAATAAATAAAATTTCAGAG